AGAATGGAAACCATAAGTGTGAATATCCCTAAGACAAAGAACCAGAAAAAAATACATGAAAATGAAGTTATTCTAAGTTACTGCAAAGTTTCAAAAGATAGAAGAATTGATAATACAAATAAAAAAGACAGAAGAAATGAAACAACACAAGATAAAGAGGGCACAGTAAACACAGTACTAGAATTAACAGAAATACATAAAAACACAGTCCAGAATATAGAGACGAAAATGACAGAGGTTTCCAACATGCTGGTGAGACAAAAAAGCAGAACAGAAGACCTAGAACAGAAAGTCAGTGAGCAGGAAGACAAGAACCTCAAAAGTAACATACCAGAAGAGAAGACAGAAGGTAAACAAATAAAACATTAGAATCATGCCAGAGGACATCAAAAGGAACAACACACAAAGGATTGGAATCCCAAGGAAGGGAAAACACTAAGAAAACTGTGGGAAAAGTACTAGAAGAAAAGTTTCAAGGCATCATGAAGAATGAGAAAATCCATATTCAAGAAACCCCAAGCAAACTGGACTCCAAAAGAATTAAAAAAAAAAAAATCAAGACACATCATAGTAAAATTCTCTAACACCAAAGATAAGGATATGAAAATAAACCAAAAGAAAAAAAATCCAATGATAAATAAATAAAAATGGAGGGAACATACCAAAAGATAAGGATAGAATAATAAAAGTAGAATTAGAAAAACAAAGTTCACATAAAAAGGAGAAACAATTAGACTAAGTTAACCCTGAACCTAACTAGTGACACAATAGACCTATACAAAGAAAACTACAGAACGTTATTGCAAGACACAATAAAAGGCCTAAATAAATGAGAAAATGTTCCCTGTTCATGGATAGAAAGACTCAGTATTATGAAAATGACAATCCTACAAAAAAAATCTACATGTTCAATGCAATTCCAATACAGATACCAAATTCCTTTTTCAAGGAGATGAAAAGGGAAACTACCAAGTTTATTTGGAGAGGAAAGAGACCCTGAATAAACAAAACACTTCTGAAAAACCAAAATGAAGTGGGAGGTGTAACATTCCCTGATCGCAGAGCCTACTACACATCAGTAATAACCAAAACAGCATGGTACTGGTACAATGACAGGCACATAGACCAATGCAACAGAATTGAGAACCCAGAAATGGACCCATCTCTCTATGATCAGCTGATATCCAACAAGGAAATAAAACCTATCAAATGAGGAAATGACAACCTCTTCAACAAATGGTGTTAGCAAAACTGAAATACTACCTGCAGAAAGCTGAACCAGGATCCACATCTCATGCCCATACACAAAAATCAACTCAAGGTAGATCATAGACTTGGGAATAAAGCCCAAAACCATAAAGTTCATAAGAGACAAGCTGGGATCATGCTTAGAAGGTCTAGTCTATGTTATAAAGAGAGTGCCTAATACATCCAGAAATGCACAATCTGAAAAAGATAAAATTGATGAATGGGATCTTCTAAAGATTAAATCTCTGTTCATCAAAAACTTTTTCCAACAGGGTGAAAAGAAAACCTACTGATTGGGAAAAAATATTTGGCAATACTATCTCAGACAAGGTCTCAGAACAAAAGTTAACAAAATACTCCTGGGTCTCCAGAATAAAAAGATTGATAATCCAATTATAAAATGGGCAAGAGACATGAAAAGACTTTTCACAGAAGAGGACATTCAGATGGCCAACAGACACGTGAAGAAGTGCTCAAAATCACTAGCAATAAGAGAGATGCAAAGCAAAACCACAATGAAATACCATCTTACCCCAATAGCAATGGCAAAGTTTAGGAGGGCAGCAAGTAATAAATGTTGGAGAGGATGTGGAGAGATTGGAACTCTCTTATACACTGTAGGTGGGATTGTAAAATGGTACAAACACTCTGGAAGGCAGTTTTGGCCTTTCCTAAAATAACTAAGCATAGCTATTCTGTATGACCTGCTATTCCACTGCTAGGGATATGTACCAAGGAAAATAAAACCAAGACACAAACCAAGATTTATACATCAGTGTTCACAGCAGCATTATTCACAGTAGCAAGAAAATGGATACAGGCAAAATGTCCATCAGCAAATGAATGGATTGAGAAATTGTGCTACATTCACACAACAGAATACTATGCAACACTCAGGAGCAATGATTTTTAACTATATAACTCCTCACAGGCACCGCATCCCCACAGACCTCCATGCCAGCCTGTCTGAGGGCTGCCCAGCAGGTCCAGCATGCCATGGAGAGGACTTCTTCCTAGGGAAGATGGAGTTCCAGGAGGTGGAGCCTTACGAAATGGCCCTGCCCCATGTAGGTGATGGAAGTGTTGGAGGTCCAGCTGAGCCACTTCCGGGAGTTGCTGGGCATGGTCCCTAGGCAACAGCACTTGCACATACTGCCAGATGTGTGTCAGGTGTTTGGTGAGGTGCTGCAGGCCTACAGGGTGTGTTTAACACATGCCGGCCTGCAGTGGGGTACTCCTTGCTCCCTTTCCTGAGTGGCAGGCATGTGGGTGCCCCTGCCCTGCCCCAACTCCCTCCTCAATGGCAGGCATGTGGATGCCCCTGCCTGGCCCTGCCACCTTCCAGATTGGCATATAGAAAAATTAACTCAAGATGAATCAAAGACATAGGCATAAAACCTAAAACTATAAAGATCATAAAAATAAAATTTGAGATGAACTTAAACAGTGGCACATAGATAATCCAATAAAACTTAAAATACACAATCCACAGAGGAGAAACTAGATGACTGGGAATTCCTAGATATTAAATCCTTACATTGCTGTTGTTACTGATTTGTACCATCTAGTCAGAACCAATCCATATCTGACCCACCAATGTGTTTCTAGAGGTAGTAAATTACAGGGAGTGAAATTCCCCATCCTTCTCTAGAGGGGCAGCTGGTGGATTTGAACCACATGCCTTCAAGATTGTAGTACAGCTTCTTATTAGCAGGCCACAAGAAATCCCTGTGGTTGGGTTGTTGCTGTTGTTAAGTGTGGTCCAGTCAAGTATGATTCATAGGGACCCTATGAACAACAACTTTAAACCATGTCTTACCTTGTGCCATACTCTTTCTGATCTACTTGATCCAATTGCAGCAGCCACTGGGTCAGTTCATTTCATTGAGGGTCTTTCTCTCCTTCAGTTACCCTCTACCTTTCTAAGTATACAAGCAAAACACTGCTAAAGATCATCCAAGAAGAGCTGGAACAATGCTGTGACAGAATTTTCAGAAGTTCAAATTTGGTTTAGAAGAGGCCATGGCACCAGAGATATAATTACTGTTAGTCTTGGCTGAAAGCAGAGAAGAATGTCTTCTTGTGTTTTATTGAATTTGCAAAGGCATTTGATTGTGTTGTTGTTGTTATCAGGTGCTGTCGAGTTGAGTATGACTCTTAGCCACCCTATGAAAAGCAGACCTGAACCCCATCCTATCTTGTGACATCTTCATACTTCCCATCACAGTAGAGCATATTGCAGCAGTCATTATGTCAATCCACCTGGAAGGAAGGTCCTTCACCGACCTTCCACTCTTCCAAACATCATGTCCCTCTCCAAAGAATAGCCCCTCCCAGCAACATACCCATAGTATACTTGCCTCCAAAGAGCACTCCAGCTACACCCTGTTCTGACATATTTGTTATTTTGGAAGTCCATGTTCAGTGTTAAAATGAAGTCCAAAGTTCAGTGTTCTTCTCCAACACCATAAATTCTTCTTCTGTCATTCCTATTCATTGTTCAGCTCTCAGATGCATAGCAAGTGATTGGAAAGACGATAGCCTAAATCAGATGCACCTTATTCCTCAAACTGGCATCATTACTCCTCAATAATTTGGAGAGGTCCCTAACTGCAGACTTTCCCAGTGTCTTGATCTCCTAACTGCTGTTATCAAGGATGTTAACTGTGAATACAAGCAAGATGAAGTTGTTAACAGCTCTTCTCCATCCACCATGATGTTGCCTATCTGTCCAGTGCTAAGAACCTTTGTTTTCTTGACATTGAGATCCAATCCATATTGAATATTGCACTCTTTGATCTTCTGCAACAAGTGTTTCAAATCATCCTCACTTTCAGCAAACAAGGTTGTGTCACCTACATAATGCAGGTTATTGATGCATCTCCCTCGGATCCTGATGCCCAGCTTCTCAAATAATTTGTTCAGTATATAAATTCAATAGATATGAAGAGAGAATACAACTCTGACACACTCTCTTCTTCATTTTAAGCTATTCAGTGTTTCCCCTGCTCTGTTCACACAACAGTCTCCTGGTCCAGATACAGGTTTCACATGCTCACAATTAAGTGCTCTAGTATTTCCATTCTTGTCAATGCCAGCCACAACTTGTTATGATCCACAAACACCTTTGCATGGTCAATAAAGCATAAATAGACATTTTTCTAGTATTGTCTATTGCCAGGATCCATCTGAGTTCAGCAATGATATCCCTGATGCCACAGCCTCTTCTAAATCCTGCTTGAACATCTTACAGTTCCCTATCTATGTACTATTCTAGACTTTTAAAAATTATCTTCAGCAGTATTTTACTTGCATGTGATATTAATGATATTGTTCGACAGTTTCCACACAAAAAAAAAAGGCAGGAAAAAAAAATTCCTCTCCTTCCCAAAAAAATCCTTCATAAAGGCACTGTTCACTCCCATTAACCCATTCTACCTCTAAAGCCATCAGGGGTTCTGGGTGAGCACTTGTACAGTCCTGGTTTTAACAGCCCAAAAGCAGATATGTTGACCACTCAGGCCTTATGGGCAAGCACTCTCCTCTTGGTCTGTGTCAGAACTCTCTGATTTTCCTTCTATCTACTGGTGTTTTTTCTCCAGCAAAGAAAACACACATAAAGATAAGACTAAACATCACTGAGCCATACCTAAGTTAAATAACAAGGGACAGATTGTTTTTCAAAAGTTTGGGTTAGAGCACAGCAAGGCTGAAAGTCACAGTTACCTCTGACCTCATGCAACCTGTCTTACCTGCTGAAACATGAGCTCCTCTGCTTTGACTTTCTCCATCATCTCCTGCTCCAATAGAGCCAATTCTCGTTCATGCTCCAGCTCAGCCATTTCTCTTTTTTTCTAGAATTGTTTAAAAGCAATAATTTATCATTATAATTCATGTTCTAAAACAAAATGTCTATGAATGATTGAATGAAAACCCAATATGATTTGTAAACTTTTACTAAAAAAAATCAGAAATAAACAAACCTAACCACAAAATAATTTTAGGAACGATCACAAGATTAATTAGAGAAAATACAGTCTTGAAAGCATTTAAATCACCCACAATAGAGTTAAGCAAATTATTATCTATTAAACTAGAAAAATATATAATTGCTTAAGGAGCTTTGATGGCTGCTGACTAAGACAGGTGGTATGAATCCATCAGCGGCTCCACAGAAGGAAGATGAGTTGTTTCCTTTTGTAAAGACTCAGAGTCTTGAAAGCCTGATGGGAGGTCACCAAGACCTGAAACTGACTCATCACCAATGGGTTCCATTTTGGCTTAAAATATTTTGGAAAAAATACGTGTATTTCAACTAAAGAAGGAGCATAAAACATATTTGTGATCATATATTGAGTATGTTAAAAAAACTATAAATGTGGAGAAAAAGACTAGGTAAAAATATATAAAAATACAAATACATATGTTTTCTTTTTTATGTTGTTTAGTTTTTTGTAGAATAAACCCTATCTTTACAAAGGAAATTATTAGCATTAACCTTTTTAAAAAGCAGACCAGTTGGTCCCAATATTCTACTAATTTTCTGAAAGGAGAGCCATACTTACCATTTGTTGCATAGTCACATTTTCCTTGTACTTACAGATCCACAATGCCAAATATTCTATTGGATCCACTGGGTGAATTCTGGCCACTTCTACAAGACCTTGAGTTAGACATGCCCCAAGGTATTTTTTAAGGTAATTTGACCCCATTTCTAACTCCTCAGGAATTTATAACCTGAAAAAGAAATTATTTGCATTAGTGTAGGAAATTGCTAATTAAGATGTAGAAAGGAAAAGAGCAGTAGTCCTATCACCAGTCAATAAGATCCTACTATTAAAGATGTTACAAGCAATTTAGCCTTAGGAAACTTCTCACAGTTTAAAAAAAAAAAACCTTGTAAAAAAAAAAGTCACTACAATTAAAATAATTTCAAAATTCTGATGCACTCTCAAGTCCCAGAATGATTATAAGATAATATGCCAAACAATACTATCTCACTTAACCTCCTAATATCCCTGTAAAATGGGTATTATCCATGTTATACAAATGAAGAAACCTCTGGATTTCACTATGAATCACCAAACAAAATCCTGTCCTGTCCTGCATCATTCTCACAGCCACTGTTGTCTTTAAGTTCATTGTTACAGCAATTATGTAAATCCTTATCATTAGAGATCTTCCTTTTTTTTCCACTAACAAGCTACTTTATTAAGCATGATGTCGTTTGCTAGCTGCCGACTTCCCCCTAATATTGTTATAAAAAGTACACAAGATGGAGTCTTACCACCATCACTGCTAAAAAGCATTCTGGCTGAACTCTTCAAAGACAGACAAGTTTGCTCTGGTAACTTTGGTAAATAGCACCATAATTCAAAGGCATCAATTCTTCTCCAGTCTTTCCTCCTTCTCCAGCCATCAAATGCAGGTAAGGCCACTGAAAATACCCTGGCTTGGGTCAGGAGCACCTCACTCATCAAAGAGACATCTTTACTTTCTTTTTTTTTTTCTTTTTTT